TCTGCTCTGTTTGATGATTGTAAACTCAAGTATGATAAAATATTGAACTATTTCAGTATCTTTATGATTTACTTTAAAAATATGTGCATTGTCTGAGGTCTTAATTTTTGTTTTCTTGATGTTCAGCTGTAAACCTAACTAGGTTAAATGTTCCTTATCCAGTTTCCCTAAGTAAGTGAGTAGAAATAATCCCCTTGTTCCATCTTGATTTGGGAATAACCAGGTATTTAAAATTTCTGGCTTCATTTCCAAACAGAAAATTAGGTTCTTTCTCTGTACGTTTTACTTATAAACTGTGAACAATTACAGTTGGTGCTTAATGCATAATACTTCATGACATCACCAGGGGCTGTTTTGGCCTGTAAACGTTCGTCTGGGCTGATTCTGAATTGGAGAAGGTTAGGCTACATTGCTCGTTATAGCAGTTTGATACCAGTTTGACTGCTTTGTCTCTATCTTATTGAATCCTAGCATTTGTTTTTTTGGTAAAGTATTTAATAAGGTTTCCTGCTATAGAGAATTCCCCCCAGCACTCAGTACTAGAGCTCTCCAGCAGAGATGTATTTCAGCAAACTACAAATTTGATGATTCTATAGGATGGAGCCATGACAGTTAATATGAGTGGTATGAAATGGATAGTACAGATATGCCATTAGTCTTTTGTGACAATGGAGGGTAGGTTGCTCTTGGTTTTTGTACATTGGAACATTGCAAACATGGAATCTGAAATGTAAAAGTCCAGGGTCCTTTCATACTGACCAATTATAGTGCTATAGAATCATAGAGTTGGAAGAGATCCCCAAGGGTCATCTAGTCTGACTCTCTGCCATGCAGGAAGACACAATAAAAGTACCCCTAACAGATGGCCATCCAGCCTCTGTTTAAACATCTCCAAAGAAGGAGACTCCATCTCTCTAAAAGGGAGCATCATTCACTGTTGAACAGTTCTTACCATTTAGGTCAGGGGTAGGCAACCTTTCCCTTTTAAGGGCCGAGGGACTTCAGCTCCCAGAATCCCAGGAGCTGTTGGCAACATGGGACTATTGGCCAATATGGCTAAGGCTTCTGGGAGCTGAAGTCCCTCGGCCCTTAAAGGGGAAAGGTTGCCTACCCCTGATTTAGGTGGAATCTCTTTTCCTGTGTCTTGAATCCATTGCCCCATGTCCTAGTCCCTGGAGCAGCAGAAAACAAATGTGCTCCAACCTCAATATGACAGCCTTTCAAATATTTAAACATGGCTATCATATCACCCCTTAACCTTCTCCTTCCCAGGCTAAATATATCCAGGTTGCTAAGACACTCCTCATAGGGATTGATGGTTTCCAGATGTTTCACCATTTTGTTTGCCCTCCTACGGACACACTCCAGGTTCTCAGCATCCTTCTTGAATTGTGGTGCCCAAAATTGGACACAATATGATTGCATGGTAACTGTCTTGGCTATGTCTTATCAGGTCCTGGGGTGTGTAGTTTGGTGAGGCACTAGCTTTCTCTGGCTGAGAACTCCTCTCCCAAAATTGCATATCCCAGGCTTCCATAGGACATTGTCATGATAGTTAAAGTGGAATCATAGCACTATATGTTGTGTGAAAGGGACCCAGGAAGGACTTTACCATGATTTTGATTATTTAGAGTCAGCTTGATACCTTTGTTCCCTTGAAAACAAGATAGTTATGGACAAGGGGAATGCCATCAGTACTGCCCATCTCCCCATGGCTTCTCTCACTTCTTATTTATATTGTTTATATTTTATTGTTTCTATTTTTAATTTTTTATATTTCAAATTTAAATACAAAATGTTTTCTGTTTTAATTTTTATCTATTTATAATTTATATAAAATATCTTATATTTTAATTTTGTATATTGTCTGGGGTTTGTATTTGATTTTAATTGTAAGCCGCCTGGATTGGTTTTTCAATAGGCGGGGTATTAAATAAATATTATTATTATTATTATTATTATTATTATTATTATTATTATTATTATTATTATTATTATTATATAGCAGGCAGGGAACAAGCAGTGTGATGCTTGATAGATGGTATTCTGACCTGTCCAACTCTTTGTTTTTAAGTCATGCCCAAACATAAGGGCAAAAATCTTCCTCCCTTTGTTTCCTAAATCTTCTGCTGCCACTAAACACACAATTCTATTTCCTCCCTAAAGTCACGAGGAGTAGCGCATATATCTATATCTATATATCTATATATCAGAACACTTCATCTGAAAACTAAATGCTGAGCTAGATACTTATGTTCATTATGCACCTCAAGCAATGCTTCCACATTGCTGTTGCCTAGTTAACCATCCTACACAATTTGTTTTTCACATTTGGATTTGCTTGGCTATGTGCAGATTTGTATTCATCACTGTTGGATGAAGTAAACATTTTAAGGTTGACTGTCCCTTATTCGAAATGGTTGGGACCAGAAGTGTTTTGGATTTCAGATATTAGAAAGATTATCTCGGAGACGGGACCCAAGCCTAAAGATGAAATTCATTTGTTTCGTATAAACCTTACAACATAGCCTGAAAAGTCATTTTATGCATAATATTTTTAATAACTTTGTGCATGAAGCAAAGTTTGTGTAGACTGAACCATCAGGAAGCAAAGATGTCACTATCCCCACCACCCATGTGGACAGTTTTGGATTCTGGAATATTTTGGATTTTGGATAAGGGAGACTCAACTGCATGTGAGAGGGAAAGGCAGACATTTTGTGAGGGTCTGCAAACATAGATAGCAGGGAATAGACAGAAGGGGAGGCCTGTGGTGTCTCTGAATATCACACACAAACCCAAGGACAGTTAGGAGTTGTGTCCTGTTGCTAAAATGGCAGTACACAGACAAGGAGCTCTGTACAAATTGGAATTATGGAGTACAAATTGGAAAGATATTGGATGCTACAAGCGACTTTGAATCACTCTAGTGTGGCAAAGTGAAAGCTGGCTCTTGCTGAATAAATCAACCTAAGCCGATTGATACTTTGAGACTCTTTTAATGTCTCAAGGTAAATGGTGATCCATGGTGACATTACCTCAGGGCACCTGGCTTTATGGACAGGAAGCAACTGGTCTGCCATGTTTTTCAATGAGTCACTTTTGTGATTTATTGGTCAAATTTATACCCCTCTTTCTTAAAGAGTTGGAAGTAGGGCATGTTTTTTATTTTATGTTCACAACAATTCTGTAAAGTAGGCTAAGAGACAGATTTGCCCATGACTAAGGACGAATTATATCCAGGCCACTCGCCATTCTAGGGTCAGTAATTTTGTCAGCAACACTGCCATGGCCTTGTTGTTGCGTGTCTTCAAATCATTTCAGACTTATGGCGACCTTATCATGGGTTTTTCTTGGCATGATTTGTTCAAAGGGAAGGCTTTCTCCTCTGAAGCTGAGAAAGTATGACTTGCTGGAGGTCATACAGTGGATTTCCATGGTTGAGTGGGGTTTTGAACCCTGGTATGCTGACTCCTATAGTAGGCCTTACATGTACAAAATGTCTCACAGCACCACAAAATGGTGCCCATTTCCATAGCAACAGAAAGGAGGACCAGTTCCACATTTTCCTAGCTAGAGGAACCATGGACAAATACTGGAGATATGATTCCCTTGGCTTTCCTCAGGATTTTTGAAGTGAAAAAGGACAGGAAAAAAATTGGAGAGATGGCAGAAGACACATGAATTCCTTTTTTCAGTGAAGGTGAATGATAGAAAATGGAGAGGGTTAATGGATTCAGGATATGCAATGGGCCCAATGAAGGAGTATTGCTAAAAGATACATTTCAATATGTCTTCCACACATTTCAATATGTCTTCCAGCACAAACAAATGCATTTGCACTGTGCAGGTCTTGGTTACTGGGAAGAGAGCCCTACTCAGAGCTTGGAAAAGTTACTTTTAGAAAGAAATTCATTCTCCATTATTAATAATTGCTTGTTACAAAGCTGGAAACGTAACTGGTTGCATTGCTCATTACACTTTTCTTGGTCAGGTTGGGGAGACAATTTAGAATTGCTAAGGCATTGGTTCCCAATCTTTGGTTCTTCTGATAATTTGGACTTCAGCTCCCATAATTCTTGACTGTTGACCAACTTGGTTGGGGCTTCTTGGAGCTGATGTCCGAAACAAATGAAGGACCAGAGGTTGGGAACCACAGTGCAAAGGGAATGGCATTAGATTTGAAAAAAAAATGCTGTCAAAAAGTGCCTAAAAAGACACTTTAAATGTAACTTTAAATAGTAATGGGAAGATGGCACTTGTTGCACCTGCCAAGTAACTTCATCCCTATTCATTAATTTACTTTTTGGAAGTAACTCATTACCAAGAAAACAAACTTTACTTCAAAATTGTGGCCTGCTAGAGGTCAGCCTATGATTTGTATATTATACTATATAATATACCATGAGCTCTTTTTTTCTTCTTTGTAGAGGCAGATGCATAGCATGGCAGGGTGGACCTGTCTAAGCTTAAATCCACTCTCATCACCAAGGAAAGAAAAAAACAGGATTTAAGCTTGCTTGAGCATCACCGTTCCCCTGCATATATACTGGGGCTTTAAGTTCAGTGGAATTGGTTTTTCTGATACAGCAGGATTAAACCTATCGTGTATGGAAAAACAAGCATGCAAGGTGGAGGTGAATGGATATTGCCAACAGAGAGTGCCTCTCTAAGTTATGCCCAGGTGAAATGGATAGGTAGGATACGAGTCAGTTGCAAAGACATTTGAAGAATACTCTATGTTCATGAATGTCCACCATATGGCATTACTGTTTAGGAAGGGCAAAACAGACCTGGCCCTCACCACAACAGTTTCATCAGAATTTGCCAAATGAGCATCCACTTATGGCAAAAAATCAAAGGATGGAAACTAGCTCCTGATTGATTGCAGCCATCAGGCATCATGCCCCCTCTTAGATGTACAGCATCTTCCTTCTATTGATCATACCACAGTATTATAGAATTTGGGAATGGACACTTAAAAGCTAGATAGCAAGGAAGCCAGTGTGGCGTAGTGGTTTGAGCATTGGATTATGACTTTGGAGACTGGGGTTCAATTCACTGCTTGGCCATGAAATCCACTGAGTGAACCTAGGCAAATCCCATGTTCTCAGCCTCAGAGGAAGGCAGTGGCAAAACTCCTCTGAACAAATCTTGCCAAGAAAACCCCATGATAGGTTTGCTTAGGGTCGCTATAAGTTGGAGACAACTTGAAGGCACACAACAAAGCAGAGGAAAGACAATCTTATCTCGTGCGAGACCATAAACCCCATTAATTCACATTTATTAATATCTGCTTTCCTTCTACTGGTAACTCAGGCACAGATGAGAATATGACATAGTGTAATATCTAAATCAAGTTATGTCATACTCCTTTTAGTCCCATTGCCTTTTTGGATTTGTTGTTTCCCTCCCAAAATCTGCTTTGTGAGTTTGTAAATGGTATCTTTTTCTTTCCATGAACATTATTTAGTTTTTGGATATTTTAAGCAAAAAAGTGTTCTACAGTACATATAATTTGTATCTCAGGATTTTTTCCCCTTAGGATTTGGAAGGATTTGGAAAAGCACAGAATCATCTGATGGCTTTATCTTAACGGAAATCGATAATTGGTGGTTTGATTCATCCACAAGAAATTGTCTTGAGTTCTGTAGTGCAAAGCTTATAATCTTTTGAGTTGGCTTGCTCTGAATTTCAAATTCCATCAGTTTGCCCCCTTCCCATTCATTTGGATTGCAAGAAATTGCTATCTTCGACACATATATGATTCAGAATACACAGAAAACAAGACTAAGAGTGAACCAAGAAGAATAGGGAAAGGGTTAATGGAAGATCAACCATTAGCTCCTGCCAAAAGCACATTTGGATTTTTTTTCAGATCATCTCTTTAATATAATTTTTATTTCTTTTTATTTTTTTATCGTTCCCCATTCCCCCCTTTAAATACACAACAGAAAGACATTTCCCCCCCTCCCCATTTTGGGGTGTAGAGTTGTGGGGAGAAGGGGGTTCTGAGGAAAACAGGGTGGTCCAGAGGGTGAGCTGCTGTAAAAACCCATACCTCTTTAACACCCCATATGTAGTTTGTTTGGTTATTTATGTGGGGCTTTTTTTTTCTCTTTACCCCCTTCTCTACCCCACAGGTTTCCACTTTCATCAACTTGTTAAAATTCACGTCCATCTTGGTTGTTTTGGGAGGGTGTAAAAACACTTAGCGGGAAGGAATGAAAAGAATAGGAAAAGGAACCCCAAAAGAATTGACACAAAGAGGACAGGGAAATGTAAAGGGTGAACTTTTTTCTTCATCATCATGTCTTTTTTGTTTTTAAAAAAAATTATTTCCAGTTTGCTTTTTATTATTCCTTTTTTGTTGGTGGGTATTCTCTCTCTCATTGTTGGTTTTCATTTTTTTGGTTACTGTATAGAAGTTTTTTTTTTTAAGAGCTTTGGATTCATAAAGAGGGTTTTTGTGGTTTTTTTTTTTCTTTTTTCTTTTTTGCAAGGACGTCGGCACACAGCCCATGTAATGTGGCTGTGTGTGTGTGACGGGAGGATCCTTCTGGTTTTCGTGGTTTTTCTTTTCTTTTTAAAGCCATTGGAGTAGGTTTTGTGTCGTTTCCCGCGCAGAGACGGAAGTCACGTCTATCAGGAGGAAAAAGACAGTGAGGTTGTTGGTTTTATTTGGTTCCCCGGTGCGGGTAAAAACCCAACTGGGGAGGAGGAGGAGAGAGAGAAAAGAAAAATGGGAGAGAAGAAAGCAGTGCCTCTTTCTTTCCCTGTTTGGTTGCTGTTCAAGTCGTTCAAATCCATCAACAGTTCGGGAGTCTGTCCATCCATCCTTTATGGTCATTTTTTTATACATAATGGGCAGCGCATGCTCTGGGAGGGGTGCAGGGTGGGGGGACTCAGTTTCTCATCTTTGCCCCCCTCCCCCCTTAAGTTTTGTCTCCTTGGGTTAATAATTTTCATTCTGTTCATTCTTTTTGTTTGCTTTGCTTTTTTTTTTTTTTTTTTTGGCCTTTTCCAGTCTGTAACACAGTAAAAGGGTGGAAGGTGAATGTGAGAGAGGGAGCTCTAACAGGGTGTGTGTGTGTGTGTGTGTGTGTGTGTGTGTAAGAAAGAGAGAGAGGAGACTTGGGTACACAATGGGTGTCAAGAGTGTGCCAGCAGCTGTCACAAGGGGAGAGGCAAGGAAAGGTTTTAGCACATGTGTGACAAGAGGAGGGCTTTGGGCCACATGTGGCAAAGTTAGAGGGAGATGTGTGAAGTGGAAGGATGTACTTTTGGAGCATTTCCATTGACTGGAGGAGAGACGGTGCAGCCTTGGCATACAACAGCTTGAGGGAAGAGTGTGCTCACCCATACAGGTGAGGAGCCCTATATCTAGGGAGCATCTGAACTTAAAGTGGCAGGGATCATCTTGAGATGCTTTTGATAGAAATATTGAAAAGATCTCCAGAGATGCATGGTGGGGAAGGACGAGTCCAGTCCTGAAGGTGTGGAAAAACAAGCAACTCTCACATGGGGTACAAGTGTATGCCACAGGAGATGGAAGACTCTGGAATACACAGGTAAGTGGAGGGAATAGATAGGAGCTAGCATCCATGTTAGATTGGGGCAGCTATGGCTGTCCAGGTAGGATCCAGTTTTTGGGAGGCAGGTTAGTTGGAGAGGTAGGGAATCAGCCTCAAGTAACACATGGGATGATGTAAGAGAGGGCTGATGTAAAACAGTTGTACTGGCAATGATTTGTGAGTGGGTGTGTGGGCAGCAGAAAGATCAAAAGGATTGGCTTAGGTGAAGGAAAGAAACATCTTCTATATTCTATACCAGGGGTGGAAATTGGTCATGCAAGTGCCAGCAGCCCTGGACAGCACAGCTACTTGTGAGGAATGTTGGCAACTACTCTCCAGCAGCATCTAGAGAACAGCATGATTCCCAACCCTGAACCATAAGAAGCCCCATTTCCTTCATCCAAGCCAATTCTACAGCATGGACAGGACAAGGCAGTTCTGACTGAACAGACTGCATTCCTGTTCAACCTCAGGACAGGTAGTATTCCCTTAAAATGGACTGCACAAGATGGGCACTATTTGGGACAAAAATAAAGAAGGTTTGGGATTGGTGTGAGTGGTTGAGGAGCAGCTTGACTAGATGGCAGGTCTCTCTCTCTCACACACTTACTGGTCACTCTTCCTTGCTGGCAGTAAGAAAGGGGAGAGGTTGAGTTGGGTTTTGCGTGAGGGTTATTGGGTATGGGCAGAGGTGGGGCACCCAAGTGGGTGTCCATCCCTCCACTGGCTGGTTCATTAGTCATTCTCTCTCAATGGTGGCAGTGTAGCATCCGTCTCTATAAAGCTAGTAGTGTCGTAGAGGTAGCGTTACTTTTTGGGTTGGAGTCCGAGTGAGGTAATTTGGATTCCTCTTTGGCAAACACCGATGCAGTTGCTGCGTTGGATCCGGCTTTGCGCCGGTGAGCACTGGAGCGCAGGTGGGCCCCCAGTGCCTCACGCCCACTCACAAGCACCTCGCAGGCCAGGCAGTGGTAGGTGCACACAGGCACACGCAGCGGGGGTGGGGCGGTGGGGGGCTGGCGCCCAAAGTAGCAGAAAGTGGCCTGGTGGGCTGCAGCTGCCCCTTCACTCTCAAAGGCTGCCTTGCACTGGCGGCAAAGGTATTGGTGAGTCACGTCAACCGTAGAGATGCCAGGGGCCTCCGACACCTCAACCGGTGGCTCAGGCGTGGGTGTTGGGAGCAGGGGGCTGGGCAGTAGCCCCATAAGTGTCTGAGGTATGACAGGGTTCATGGGGAATAGCCCCTTCTTCATGCCGTAAAGTTGCTGGAAGTAAGCCCCAGGCAGCTGGGCTCCAAACAAGGAGGGGGCTGTCGCTGTTGCTGCCGGCAAAGGGAAGGGCAGGAACTGGCCACCCAAGAGAGCCGGCACGGTGGCCTTTAATGTCTTGAGGTTCTTCAGTGTGGCAGTGGAGGACAAGGAGGGTTCCTGGGCTGAATTTGGAGTAGGGTCTGCCTGGCTGTCGCTCAGGATGGTCTCTGGAGCAGGAGCAGGAGCAGGAGCAGGTTCTGTTGAGGGACCAAGCTGGGATGGTTCTGAAGTGAGGTGCTGAGGTAAGGGAGGGCCTGGCTGGGTGGAGGCCACAGGGTTGCTCAGAACTCCAGAGCAAGAAGAAGGGCCTGTTCAAATGAGAGAGAAAAGAGGTGTGAAACTGTTGTCTTCTTGATTCCATCTGTTTTCACTCACTCACCTCCACCTCCAACCACACCACTTCCATTCCTTCTTTCTGGTAAAAGTCTAGGGGCAACTTCATAGAGTTACAGATACACCACAATCAAGTACCTGCATATGTCAGCTACTCAAAGAGTTGACTTCTTTTTCTGGCAAGGGGTTCTATTTTCAGCCCTTGGTCAGCTGGTGCAGATAGAGGTGGCAGAGGATAATCCTATACTATTTCCAACCTAAGAGTCTCCCCTGCTGCAATAGAAATCTTAGGGATGGAAAGGATAGAGGGCATATTCGAATGAGAAGATGAAGAAAAGATGGAAAGAAAGTTTGGGGAACTTCTAAAGGGGAATTGCAACTTGGAATAAAACCATACAAGTACATGACCTGTGCCTGAAAGCTTCCACTGAAAATAGGAGACTAGGTGAAATGTCTGAAGGGGTTGAGATATCACATGGAGGAATGGTTGCACCTCCACTAGCTCCTGTAGGAGAGGACCAAGTCTTGGGTTCCTAGTCTTGGATTTAACATACCTTACCTTTTTTTACCACTCACTCACCTGGCACAAAGGATGCAATGCTCCCGAGGGAAGATGGCACGGTGGCAGGAGGCACAGAGGCACCCAGCCTAGTTGGGGATGGTGTCCCTTTGTCTGGCACAAGCTCATAGCACTTGCTCTCACTCTTGAGCTGGGCCTTGATAGCCTCTTTGAGTCGAGCTAGATGACCCCTGGAGAAGAGGTGTCCACGGCAAGACACATAAAAATCATATTTGACTTCACAATAGGGGCACTCAGACTGAGCCTGGGCATTGAGAGGGCCTTCATCACCACCG